ACTTTTTCTTCCTTTTGGGCAAGTCCAGTTCCCCAACTGAAAATTGCAATTATTCGGGGGGGGGGGGGGGTTACGCAGATATATATGACGGGTGTGCGATGGACTTGACGCGCTAGGCTCTGCTTGCCTGCCCATGTCTCACTCTCTCTAGTACAAGTAAGTTGAGGTCACTCCTTCGTGCAGAACGCTCTCGACAAGAGCTCGCGAGCGTGATAACGCAGCACACGCGCCGACACCCTAAGCACGATATCGTGATATCGTGGAATCAGCTGACGTTGGCAGGGAAAGGTCCGGAGGGTAGGCACCGGAGTAGAAGGACGGCAGCTGTAGGGCGGTTTTTGCCATCGAGCACCGTCAAGGAGATCCAGGGAAATTTTTGAAAAAAATACAAGGACAGCTGCTGTAGGCGGTCATTGCGAGCGAGCGCGTCAAGGAGATCCAGCTAAGGGAAAAGAGAAAGTGAGACATAAATCGTGCCGCTTGGGCGGCGGAACAACGGTTGGTTGAAGGACCAAGATGATGAGGGAGGAGAAGGACGAGACGGACAAGGCACATGAGCATCTAAGGGAGAAAAATGATGCGCGATTCACCGGCAGGAGAGGAGCAATGGCTGCCGGGAGAACGACTGCCGGGGCAGCTAGTGGAGCTGCGCTCGGCACACAAAGGGTGAGCATGACGAATGACGGAAACCGTGAGTTGAGCGGTTACAGCAGTAGTCCCAACACAGCCCAAAATCCCGAATCAAGTACGGGAAGCTCGGCAGCACTCGACGCGTGGATGTCTCTCCTGGACGGGGTTACCACGCGTGATACCGAGAAGGAAGCTGATTCTTGCGGGGTAAGTACTCGTTGTTGTTATTCCTTATCAATATACTGTATGTGCTTGGCGGGGGGCGAGCCTCGTGCCTCGCCAAACGCGTACAGTGTATTGATAAAAGAGAAACATCCAAGCGTCGAGTGCTGCCGAGCTTCCCGTACTATATTCGGGTTTTGGGGCGACTAGCGACTGCTGCTGCAACCGCTCGAAACACGTTTTCCGTCATTCGTCATGCTCACCCTTTGTGTACCGAGCGCAGCTCCACTACCTGCCCCGGCAGTCGTTCTCCCGGCAGCCATTGCTCCTCTCCCGCCGGTGCATCATTCTTCTCCCTAGCTGTTCATACAATCCCATCTCCGTCAATTCCATCACACGCCGATCATGCATATCTGCGTACCCCCCCCCCCCCCCCCCC